ACTGGCTGGTGGCCAGTCCCCGAGTGCCAGCGTCAGAGCACCTCCCGGGCGCCAGGTCAGTGCGGAGCATTGGTTGACAGCCCGACTGCGGGGAATGGCATCTGATGGAAGTGGGGCCCTGACCTTTCTCTTGAAGGTCAAGAGAAGACCAGGCCCCTTCCTCGGTAGACCGCCTGGACGCTGGGCGCCCGTGTGTGCGTGCCTCAAGCCCCGACGGCGGGGACGTGGGGAAGGGCTCACGGTGCGAAGGCGCCCCACTGGGGCCGCTTCCTCCTCTGCCTCTGTCCGTCTCTTTCTCTCTGTCCTTCTCTGGCTAGCACTTGTGCCTTCTAGCAAATGACCCAAGAGGGCAAAAGGGCTTCACTGTTCAATAGAGCGTTAAAGCCGGCCTTCCCGTCAGTGCCTGCTTCCTGGAGCCTGCTCGGTGCACAGCACCCTGGGACATGCCGGGGAGCCCTTCCCCCGTGGGGAGTGCTGGAGGTCAGAGGTGAGGACGACTGGCCTGGGCAAACGTCATCACTTGATTCCACCTCTCCCTTGCTATGTTCGAAATTGAGAAAAGACCGTTCAAGTTAAGACTTCAGCGTGCGTTTCTACGCCCAGTGCAGCTGGCTCAGGCTTATTTTGGTACTTACTCGAGGGGACACTGGATTCTTTCCACCTGCTTGGTTTATAGGGAAAACTTGTCGTTTTTATTCTCAGGAGCCTTTGAGATTCCCTGAGGGCTACGATGGCTGAATAATATCTGAAATTGAAAGACCAAAAAGCACAGTCTAACTGTCGTATTTTTTACGGTTAACCTGGGGACACCAATGTAGATGAGGTGATATGAAGAGGGAACCGATGGGCCAGTTATGGCCGAGTACGTTCAGACGTGCAGGTGGAGGAGGCTGGGAAATGATGTCGGTCCCTGCAGACGGCAAGGCCTTTGTGACTGTGTGGGTCTGAGCACGCCTGCCTTGGCAAATTTATGCCAAGTATAACCTTCCACTCAGAGTGGCTCGTCAGCTACTTTCTCCCTCCTTTTTAATAATCTCTGAAATAATTCCAAATGGAACGTCACACTCGGCACTAAAATTTTCCAGTTCGAATTTTCAGAGTGGAAATGTTCTTTTTGTAGATGTCGGTTTGCTCGAAGTCTCTGGATTAATTTGCACATCAAGCCCCTGCATTTGACACGTGACGTTACAGTCACGTGAGACCAGTACAGTGCATTGAGCATGACGTAATTTTCCCAGACAGTGAATTAAAGTGACCCTAGGAATATGGGTTCATGCTTCCTCTGGCTGGTGGCGTGTGCGAGCCGTGTCCGGCACAACCTCCACGTGTGTGTGACGTGCCTGTGCTGTCTGACCCCCCAGTCACGGACGTGGCCCCGTGACTTCCCTTCTACTCCACCGCCTCGCCTCCCAGCTCCTAATAACATGGAACCCTAGAACGGGGACATCCGCATCTGTTCTCCGAAGGGCCGATGCAGAATCAGAAACGGGACGGTCTGCTCTGTGCTGTGGGTGCGGCTGCTTCTCGGAGACCCTTCAGGGCTGTCGCACTGGGTCCCTCCGTCCCCTGTCCACGTGTCCTGAGAGTCAGAGCTGGCACTGATGTCTTCAGAACCTGTCTCTGCTTTGGTCACCCCCGGCAGTCCTTCTGTTAAGCTTATTTAGCCATGAGTGAGAGAGCAGCAGAGACCTTCACAGGGTCTTGGTGCCGTGGCCCACTCCCAGCTGTGACCCGCCCGGATCACAGGCACACACGTGCCCGGCGTGTTCGGGTGTCTCCAGACACAGACCGGTAACCTGCTGTGCGGGTCTGCCTCCGGGGCATCATCTTTCCCCATGGCCCCCGTGTGGCCCCCCGGTCTGTTCAATTCGAGCTTTGTAAAGTATATTTTAGGTGATTACATGAAGTCCTCAAACTTTACAAGTGTTAACATTGTTAAGAGTTCTTAAATTAGAACCGTTGTTAATTTCTTGTGTCGTAGAGTGTAAATTTACAGTGAGCACTAATTGTTCACCACCTCTCACCCTTCTTCCTTCGGACTCCGTTTAGGTCTCTTACGCTTTTACCCTGCACCGACTCAGTGCAGGTGTTTGCATGTCTGTCTGGCCCCCCACCCCAATAGTAACCCCATATAAGACAATGCAGTATTTGGACGAATTCAAATGAAGTGGTCTATTATGACTGCCTGGATTTTCTTCACAACCGAGCCAAACGAGTACATTGTCCTGTTTATATAACTTTTCACTCTCCCTGAAGTTCATAATGTCCTCATTTTAAAAATTTGCTCTGCTTTCTCTGAATTTCCAGCTCAGTCTTCCTACACTCTCCCCAAGCTCTTCAACGCTTTCTTCCTTATATTTCTCCTTTTTTCTCTTCCCTACCTCTTCCCTTCCTTTTTCTTTGTTCCTTGCTCTCTTTTTCTTTTTCTTTTGTCAGAGGGGAAGTGAGCTAGCCAGAGTGAGCAGGAGACACCCCCAGTAGGATGTGGTCACGCCGCAGCCCCTTCCCTCTCTCCACCACACTGGAGTTTCACGCACACGTTTCTAGAAAGCCACCGGGGCCGGGATTCGGAGCATGCAGTTGGCCGTGTGGATCCAGCTGCCTTAACAACTGGGCGGCCGTGGGGCCAACCCTCAATACATTTTTCTGTATTTCCAAGCCTGCCGGGTGCTCCCAGGACCTGACTCCTGCTCACCCTCCACCTCCACTGTGCGTCTGTGTTCCTAGAACTCTGTCTTAGTCCTGTGAGTTTCCTTCCCTTTCCCTTGGTGGGGCCTCTGTTTCCTAGGCCCCACCTGTGTACTCACTTGCCCCTCGTCTTACAGGACTCAGTCCCAGCGTCTCCTAAGAGAAGGGTGCCTGGGATGAACGCCTTGTCTCGGGCCACCTTGGGCCTCCTTTCCCCCTTCCCGCCCGGTTGCGTTCCACTCCTGGGCACTGCCACCCTCCGGCGTCAGTGCTGCAGTGTTAGCGGCCCTCTGGTCTCACTGCGGGTCGAGCTCTGTGCTCCTGCCTCCTGTGCACTCGAAGTGTTTTCTAAAAGGCGACGGCAGTAGTGGCAAGGCCTTTTCCATCTGGAAGGCAGAAACGTTTTCTCTGCGTTGCACGGAAGCACGATGAACACGCCTGGCGTTCTCGCTTCATCTTTGATCTTCCACTGGCGCGAATTGTCTGTTAATACCTGCCAGAGGATGAGCTCTTCCACAATTAGCAGAAAGCTCCCAAGTGCTAATGCTGCTTCTTCTCACTTGTCTTCCCTGGGGCTCAGAGGGCGCTGGGGCTGCTGGGGGTCTCTGGCCCACACCGCTTGCCCTCGCTGGGGCTGGTGGGGGTCTCTGGCCCTCACCGCTTGCTCTTGTTTTCAGATTGCCTCACGCCGGTGGTGGCTGTGAACATGCTCACCCAGCAGGAGGTCCCCGTCGTCATCGCCAGTGCTGACTTGGAAGGCTCCCCGGATGCCAGGATAGGTGAGCGGCTGCTGGAGTGTCATCACAATAATGCCTTTTGCAGGTTTACGATCAGAACACTCCCCCGTTGCTGACAGTGGACGGGTGACGCTCGAGTCTGTCATCTGCTGGGCCTCATTTATTTATTTTCTTTAAGAGAGAGTTTGTTTTTAGGGGGAGAGGTTTTTGCTATAGGGTGCGTGCGCTCGCCAGAAAGAGAGAGACAGAGAGACAGAAAGCGAGAAATCACCCCGCAGAGGGGATGGCCACGCCGCAATCCCTTCTCCTCCGTTCTCCTCTCAATCTTGGGCACACACGCACACGCACCCAGCGTGAGTTTAAGCCGCTGGGTCTGGGACTCAAACCACGGTCGGCTACGTGGGAGTCCAGCGACACAGCCATTATGCTAACTGCTGGTCCCCAGAGAGAGTTTTGTTAGAGGGCACATGTGCTCTCCAGAGAGACAGAAAACAAGAGAGCACCCCCACCCCTGCAGGGGATGGCCGTGCTGCAATCTCTTCTCCATTCTCCTCTCGGGATCTTGGGCACGCACGCACATATGCCCAGCGTGAGTTTCAAGCCGTTGAGTCTAGGACTTGAACTGTGGTCGACTACATGGGAGTCCAGCGACATAGCCATTATGCCACCCCTGGTCCCTGCTTGCCTCTGCAGTGCCCTTGCATGGGGTCACCTCTCAGTGAAGACCATACTTGCACGGCGTGCCGCGGTGCTGCACCCCACTCGCTAGTTGCTGCTGAAATAGTAAAGGAGGCCGAGTGGGCAGGACTCGTACCCGCGACGTGGGGAAGGAACAGCACACCTCAGATGAAAACCCAGTTTCAAAACTCAGAGCCCGCCGAGGTGAGGGCTCACGGCACGAGCCTTCAGTGTGGGCTGGGTTTCAGGGGAGGCCGTGGAGGGAGCCTGAGCTGTTCAAGACGAGGCCTGTGAAAGCGGAAACCGAAGGCGCCTTGGTGTGTACTCGGCTGTGCTCGGCGGCGTTACCACCCGGGGCGTGGCAGACCTCTGTCCCGTGCTGGGACGTCCAGGGTGGGCTTAGGAGCGGGGCCTCGAGGCGGCCCAGGCCCAGGCCCAGACCCGCTTGCTGCAGGAGACCCCGTACGCCTCTCTGCCGGCCCTTCTAGGCCACCGGCCTGTCCCCGGTGCCTGCGCCCCGCAGAGGAGACCATTCCACCACCTCCCCACAGGCGCAGCCGCGTTCCTTGGGAAGAGCCTCGTCTCCCTCAGGCTCACAGGGGTGTCCACGAGCTGGTTTGGAAAACGTCAGAGCAGAAAGCTGACGTGAAGCCATTCAGGTCATCGTCTTGGAACCTTTGCAATCTAGAAGTGACTGTCCAGGCTAGCTGGTGGCGTGGTGGGTAGGACCCCACGTGGCTCCCTGTGTGGTGTGAGTCCCTGCTTTCTCACTTCCCTTCTCTCTGGCTCTCTCCAGTGAGCATACGCTCCTCATAGCAGAACAAACACACGCAGCTGTCTGAGGACCTAACGCCGTCTTTTTTTTTTGAAATTCATTCAGTCATTTTTATTTGACCAGAGAAAGACAGTCACACAGAGCGAAGGAAAGTGAGAAAGCAAGCCACCAGGTTGGAACTGTGGTCGGCCATGCGGGAGCGCCCATCTGCCAGCCTTCAGACAGGAGGTTTTCCTGCCATCTTGCCTGCCGTAGGTGCCTGACTCGGCTCTCTAAGTTACTGCTCGTCGCCTTCCGGGAAAGGCAGAAGCAGAAGTGAACAGGAGAGGAGATGGGCGTCTGGCCCTCCCACCTGCCCTGCTGCGTGTTCACGGTCAGCCAAGTGTCCCAGAGGCCCCGTGTGCGCCCCGAGCAGTCTGTGTGGCCCAGCGCTGGACACGGGGGTGCGATCCGGCCACACCTGGCCCATCTGGACACGGGGGCCCAGCATCTCTCCTTACCACGAA